GGACAGTATATGCAAAAACTTGACTTTCTGAAGTCCTGTTCTGGCCTATTTAAACCATAGCTATCTATGAGAACTCATCCATCTGTTTATCACATAGTGACTCAGAGAAATAGAAAAATTCAAGAATTTAAGCCAATTTGAATTTCATTTTCAGTATTCACAATCACAGATATAATGAGGATGTTCATATCTCCTCTCTTTACTCTTATATTGTTTGAATAATTTACAAGAAGAACCATATATCACTCAGGGTATTGCAGAAAACAGATTATGTACTCAAATTGGATAATTTGAGATGAATTTAATGAAAGAACTATCTATAAAGGTAGGGTAGATGGAGTAGAGTGTAGAGAAATCAAAAGAAAAATGAGTACCCCAGGGCCAATTACAGTGGAGAGACTTGTCACCACCCTTAGATCTAAAAGGACTAAAACCCGTAGAGATATCTGTGTGGCAAGGATCACCCATCATGAGCTGTGACCTCTGGCAAAGGTACACAGTCAACTTGAAGGAAAGGAACTAGGGAAATAAATTCCAGTACCCACCTCTGATCTCTGGCCAGGGATCCCCATTAGCCAGGTTCAACTGAAAATGGGAGGTCAGGGGAACCACTTGATGCAGTTCAGGGAGGTCAGTCTCCTGGGGGTCTGAGAGAACCAGGGGAACAGAAGAACTGGAGAAGTGGATGGAGAATACCTTGCTTGCACGAATGGATTAATTACAAGCACAATTAAAATGTTTTAAATAATGACAACACTTTCAGGGAGAAGTCATTTTAAGTAAATGAGGAGAATGTACTGAAAGCAGGGAAGGAATGGAGTGATAAAAAGAGAGGGAGACATGCGCAAAATATTTCTGGAAGCACAGAATTGAAATATCAAAAAGAAACACTGTAATCTGAAAACATGAGAGGAATTGGAAATATAACTGTTCTAAATAATATTTTCACTTTATACAATAAATATCCCTTTTTAACAAACTTTCCTCTTGATTCTGGAAAGCATTTTAGTGATAAGAAGCATAAAGAAACACTGAAATAGTTTGACAAATACCTCCACACGTGTATAACATGTGTATATATGTGTGCTTTAACATTTCAAAATATAAGACATGATAAGTTACAGAGCATTTATAATTAATTAAGCTGTTTTCACAGACCTCTAGAAGAATATTTTTCTAGGATAGCTGACTGCATAATGTTGTGCATGATTTATTTATAGACTACTAATGAAGACATATCTAATCATCATAATTAATTGGTATTTTTGTGCTTTAAGGCCTCATCACAGAATCTTTCATATGCTGGCTCAAAGCGAGCCTGGCTATGGGGCCCACATTTAGGACAAACCGTATTTGCTGTTTTTCCATACAGAGTGTAACCGTACTGATTCATTTATTCAACATTTCTGGCTGCGATTATACAATGCTAGAACAAGTAGTCCATTCAGTCAATCTAATATTTTAAAAGGTTTTCTTGAATAAATAAACAAGGAAGCAATAGAATCATATTTGGCATAGCTGATAAAAATTTCTGTTATTTTATTTATTGTATTATTATTAGTCGCACTCTATGTAAGAATTTTGATTATCTTGAATCAAGGCAGAATTTTTCTCACATTTTTTATTGTTTTTTTCTTTCTCTTTTACGTATATGAAAAGTCATTGGAACTAATTCATACTCATTGTTAGATAGACGAAGATTTTGTTTTGCTTATTTTATTAGAGCTCTTTGGAGTGTCTGTGAAAGACCCCCAGAGTACCTGCCTCCATGTTTGGATACTGAAGTAAGAAACTGCACAAAGAGCCAAGATGGGTGTCATACATCTTTTTGCTTATGAATACAGGCCAGGTTCACCATGTGGCTTATATATGCTGCAAGGACTAAAATCAGGCTTTTTCTGACCGTCCATTCATGGGAAGCAATGTGTGGAAGGCCTGCCCTGGAAGAACAAGGCAGATTTATATTTCCCTGGGCAGCTTCTCCAGAGAAGACAAAGTAAAGGCAGTATGGCCAGCCATTCATTTTTAAATGTATAAATTCTTAACTAACATTACTTCACAAAGACAAAATGAGCAGAGTTAGAAAAAGGGCCAGTATTATAGCAATTGAGTTATTTCCAAAGGAAAATTGAGAATAAAAGATTTGATCCTATTAAAAATAAAAACAATATATAGCACTTGCCAATGGCTTTAATCCATTTACCATTAAATTTTTTAGAATGAAAATATTCTAAGACTTTTATCTGTTTAGATAGTAATCCAATGATTCATAACATGGTTACTGTTTCCAAAGAAATATTTGAGTATTTTTTTAAGGGAGATTTTTGCTATAGTATGTGCATGCTCACTGGAGACACAAAGGGAGACATAAAGAGAGACAGTGAGAAATTACCCCTCCAGGAAGATGGGCATACCACAATCTCTTCTCCTCCATTCTTCTCTCAGGATTTTGGATACACACACACACACAAGTCTGGTCTGAATTTTAAGCCACTGAGTCTGGGCTCAAACCGTAGTCGACCATGTGAGAGTCCAGTGCCTTAACCCCTTTGTCACCTGTTGGTCCAAGAATTTGAGTACTAAGATTCCTCCCAGTTGCTTTTACCCTAGTAAAAGTATAGTAAAATGGAATTAACAATATTGTGTCTATTAAAGTGAGGGCTATGACCAGAGGATAAGTAAATGATCAGTATGGTCTTCCATAGTGAATGAGTTATTTGAATAGACAAGTGGTAACCTCAGGGGATTGAGTGATTGGATATGGGCATGGGTAGAAAGTAGCCAGTGGGACAGCTTGGTGGCATTGCAACACACCGATAAAGTGATGCTCGATTCATGTGAAAAACTATGGTTCAATTCCTCGGTCAACCTGTGCACACAAGGTACACATGCCCATGATGCTGGCTAGCTAAGGAGGTGTAGGAGTCGAGCATGAGACCCTGCTAAGGGTGCTCGTATCTCTCTCTCTCTCTTTATATATCCCTCTCATGAGAGAATTAAACTTATTTAAAAAGTGGTCTTTGGGCTATCTGGTGGTGTGGTAAGTAAGGTGGTTGAATCCCACATAGCTGAATTGTTGATAGTGGTTCGAATCCTAGACTGGATCTGATAACTTGAAATATATGCTGGGCACATGCATGCTTGCCCAAAAGCCTAAAAGAAGGGAAAGATGGAGGAGAAGGGATTGCAGCATGGCCATCCCCCATGGGTAATGTTTTCATACTTTCCTCCTCTCTCTCTCTTCCCTCTTTCTCTCTGACTCTGTTTCTGGTATGCACACATGCCCTCTCACAAATTATAAATAAATAAGTAGTCGTAGACATCTTAACGACTTCAGTTGAATCAATGAGCTGTATTCTCTTGGGATATCCTGACACAAGACATTATCTGGATGTTTAGAACATACCTTTAAGTACACTGTAATGGTAGAAGGGAAAGATGGAGGAGAAGGGATTGCAGCATGGCCATCCCCCATGGGTAATGTTTTCATACTTTCCTCCTCTCTCTCTCTTCCCTCTTTCTCTCTGACTCTGTTTCTGGTATGCACACATGCCCTCTCACAAATTATAAATAAATAAGTAGTCGTAGACATCTTAACGACTTCAGTTGAATCAATGAGCTGTATTCTCTTGGGATATCCTGACACAAGACATTATCTGGATGTTTAGAACATACCTTTAAGTACACTGTAATGGTAGTAATATCAAATATATAGGTGTTATAGTAAAAACTCAGATAGGCCAACCTGACCCTTAGCTGTGGAGAGTGCAGCAGTCAGCTCTCTTAGGATGTGCCTCAGGCCCAGACAGCCATTCTTCCCTTCTAGGGAAGCCCTCCTCTTGTTGCTGAATGAAGCACAAGATGAAAAGATTGGATCCCTTTGGCAGGCCATATTGGACCAGATTTTGACAGGACCGTATTGCAAATTGCTTTCTCCTTTCTCCTAGTTTGACTTACGGGCTCTTTCTCTCAAAGACATTATTCCCATCTTAAATCCCAAACTCTCAATATTTTCTTTTCTTCTTTTCTTTCTTTTTTCTTTTCCTCTTTTTAGAAGTTTTTGCTTTAGGGTGTGTGCACTCACTGGAGAAAGATAGAGAGAAAGAGATAATGAGAGAGAAAGTGAGAAATCAACTCCCAGCGGGAATGGCCACGCCCCAGTCCCTTCTCCTTCACTCTCTTTCTAGAATCTTGGATACACATGCTTGCTATGTGTGAATTTTAACCACCAGGTCTGGGACTTTAATCGCAGTTGGCCATGTGGGAGTCCAGTAGTGTAACCACTATGCTATTTGCTGGCTCCCTTCAGCATTTTCTTCAGACATCAGATAAGTATAGATATTTTATAAATATGAGTATGTTCTCCTCATAGTGAGGCAAGCATTCAATATATGGTAAGGTAATAATTAAATATTAACAATGATGATAAGAAATTAGAATATAGGACCAATAGATGGCATAATGGTTACATACTCCCACATAGTTGACCACGGTTCGAGTCCTGGACCCAGCAGTTGAAACTCATGCCGTGCATGGGTGTGTGCCCAAGATCCCAAGAGGACAATGGAGGAGAAGAGACTGTGGCATAGCCATCCTCTCTGAGGGATAATTTCTTTTTCTTTTTATTTCTTTCTTTCTTCTTTTTCTTTCTCTTAGTCTCCCTCTGTCTTTTTGGCGAGCACAAGTGCCAAAAGTCTCTCTATAAAAAAATAATAATTATTAAGAAATAAAACACACCAGGCACAAGTTCATGTGTGCCCAAAATCCTGAGAGGAGAATGGAGGAGAAGGGATTGCAGTGTGGCCATACCCCATGCAGGGTGATTTTTCACTTTTTGTCTCTCTCTCTCTCTCTCTCTCTTTCTCTGTCTCTCCAGTGAGTACACACACCCTATAGCAAAAATCTCTCTCAAAAAAAATCAGAATGTAACATTTTATATTTAACTTTTATTGAATATAACATTTTTGAACATTCTTATCTTTCGACTAAAAATATCATTTATCTTCTTGACATTAACTTCCCCTGACTTTTCTGAATTGGAATAATTTTCAAAATTAAGCTAGTAAATAAACTAAGTTACTTTTTACGATTATTCTGAATATGTGTATTTCATTTAAACTGACTACCTATTGCATCAATGTTTACTTCCTTCTGCAAAAATTATTATAATTAAATGATTCATAATGAAGCTTTCCTGAAAAGCCACTGGGAAGATAAGAAAAAGTGAATATTCTATTAATAAGAGGAAATCAAACAAAATGATGAGCAAATTAATATAATTAGCATGACTTAATCTAACATAATTGTATGAAAATTAAACATTTAGAAATTTCAAGACAAAAGGGTCATATATCTAACTCATACATTTGGGAAGATATCATTTAAATACCTGTATCAGTTAGCTTAAGCTGCTCTAACAAAATAACATAGATGGTGTGGCATGATGACAGACACTTGTTTCTCACAGTTCAACGTCAGGTTCACACATGATACAATTCCCAGTGAAAACCGTCTCATGCTTACAAACACTTGTCTTCTTACTATTTCCTAAAGTGGGAGAGAGAGAGAGAGAGAGAGGAGCGCACTCTCGCTTTCTTTTCTTACAAAGCCACTAATCCCATCATGAGGGCATCACCCTATAACCTCTCAAAAGCACTTACTCCAAATATAATAACACTGTGGGTTAAAATTTTAATGTAAGTATTTTGGGAGAATACAATATAATTCATAGCACTTTTCACAGAAAAATATTTTGAGACAAATCGAAAAAGACTTTCCAGATTGTGTAGGTGTTGTCTTGAAAGTGCTGATTGAAAGTGAAGAGATGTGGGCTTAATTCCAAGAGTTCCAATTGTAGGGCTGAATATAAACATGACCCAAGTTGAGTTAGGAAATGTATAAAGTTTATATTCCTCGGGAATAAGATCAGGCTACCAAAGATCTTTCCACAAGCTTGTGCAATTCTATATTAAAAGAGATAAGGACTAAGCTGTGTCAAAACAACAAATAAAAATTCAAGTTATCATTAGACAATTTTTTTCATTTTAGAGATTGACATGGTATGTGACCTGTTTTTATTTATTTTTTTATTGTCACTTATTTATTTTTACAATTTTGCACAAACATTGACTTTATATATCAAAACAAAATTTTCTTATACTTGTAGCTCTGAGAATTAATTAACAATTTCAAAAATTTCAAAAAACTGAGTCTTAAAGAGAATGTTCAAAATATTTGTTATAATTTTGTTTGTGACTCTATAACAGAGACAGTATGGTTTTAAATATTTTGAGAAAATAGTTACATGTTAGTTACTCAAACTGTTAAAAAGCAAACACCTAGCATACAATTCACACACAAACCTTTATTCAGCTCTGCCCACCAAGTATTCTGTGATATACCATCTGCTAGCAAAGATTAGTCTCTTTTTCTTCCTTCAAAGTATTCCTCAAGATAATCCTATGGCTGTGGCTGCTCTTTTACAATCCCTACTAATTTCAATGCTGGGCTGGAATAGTCCAAGTTATAGTATGGTACAAATTCTTTCGTATAGCTTCTCTAATTCTCTCTCCCAAGCAGAACTGTTTATGGTGTCAGGCCATCTTTCCAAGAGGTTCTGTTTGCCTACTTGAGATCTACCTCAGTTCCATAGTTTTTTGATTAATGTTCAGATATGACATTCCAGTCAAAGGTCTCTCCAATAAGGACTATTTTCAATTTCTAATTCAGGCAACAGGTATTATTGAACCTATGCAAATAGCCATTCTGCTACAAAATAAGAATACTTCCAAACATTTTTCAATTCCAAAGTGGTCAAGAAGGGAGAAAAGTTTGTTTCCATTTAAGGAAACAAACAAAAAAGAAGGAAAAATGTTTTAACAAATTGTTGAACCTATCAACAGCTCAAAAGAAAGCAAAATCCTTAAATTAGGAAAATAAAGCATAGTAAGGAAAAAAAAATCAGTAATGTTTTACTCAAAAGTCATAAAATTCTTTTTCACCAGTTCAGTCTAATGTAATTAGTCTCTCTTCTGTTGAATTTGCAGTGTTATTGTGGTCTAATCATTCCGTTTAAATCCTGGAAGTTAATCTTCAATATTATTATTGATATTTTTTGTCCCTGGTTTAAGTTGGTCATTTGCCTGTTTGCTTTTTGTTCTCTTATTGCTGTATGTGTGTCTTTAGTCTTCTGCTAGAGCACTCCTTTCAAAAGTTCTTGAAGAGTTGGCCTGGTGTTGGTAATTTCTTTCTGGTTTTGTTTATCTGAGAATCTTTTAATCTTTTCTGCCCATATGAAGCATGATCTTGCCAGGTATAACATTCTTGGTTGAAACTGTTTTTCATTTAACAATTTGAATATTTTTTCCCGTTATTTCCTTACTCGCATTGTTTCTAATAAGTCTAATGTTAGCCTGATGGGATAACCTTTATAAGTAACCTGACATTTCTCTCTTGCAAATTTTAGTATCTTATCTTTCTGGATTTTGCCAATCTGGCTATGATGTGCCTTGGAGAATATCATCTTGGGTGGGTTCTATTAGGGGCTCTTTGTATTTCTTGGGTCTGGATATTTGATTGCCTCTCTAGATTTGGAAAATCTTCTTCCAGGATTTCATGGGATAGATCATCAATCCCCTCATTAGTTTCTTCACCTTCTGGGATACCGATTATTTGGATGTTTGGGCGCTTAATGGTATCTAATATTTTTGGTATAATATTCTCACTTTTTTGGATTATTTTCTCAGTTTTTTGGTTGTTTCTCTAGGTCAGAGGTTTTACCTTCATTATCCGAGATTTGATCTTTTTCATGGACTAATCTGCTTTTAATACTTTCAAGGGAGATTTTGAACTCCTGTATTGCAGCCTTCATCTGTACCAGCTCCACTTGATTCTTTTTTATGACATGTATTTCCTCTTCCAGAGAACTTCCAAGAACTTTCTCAACTCCTAGTACTTATCTCTTTTCTCCTACATCTTCTGGAGTTCATTGTCTCTCAACTCTTACATCTCCTTTAGTTTTGTCACTGTTAATATTCTGAATTGTTAATTGGACATTTCCATGAATTCCCTTGTACTGCCTGTGGATGATGAACGATTATTCTTTTCCCTTAGGGGAGAGATATTTTCTTGGTTTCTTATTTCTAGTGCCTCTGTGGTGATTTCTGGTGATTCTGTGACAAAAATCTCTCCTCTACTGTGTTTTACAACGTGCTATCCATAGAAAGAGATTATGAGTTCAGATTTATAAAAAAAAGTTTTTTTCTTAAAGCAAAAGGTTTATAAGCATTGAGAATTTCAGTGTCCCTAATAGTATTCATATGCTTGGCTATTGTGCACCTAAGCCTGTCTAGACACTCTGTGTGGAGACTGAAGAGCAGAGTAGGAAAGTAATGTTAAAACAAAACAAAAAAGCAAAATGAAAATAAAAGGAAAAAAGACTAGTCAAAAACCAACAAAAAAGAGAACAAACAAATTTTTTTAAAGGTTAAAAATGAAAACTGCACATGCACTATAGACAGAGGCAGAGAGAAGAAAGAGGACACCCTACCTTGTCTGATTGTTTCAGGGGTCTAGAAGTTGGAGTTTAGAGCATAGTTTCTCTGAACACTCCAGGACACACCTCAGATTTAAAATGGCTTCTTGTCTGAGTGTTCCAATGGTCTAGAAGATGAAGTTTTTCTGTGACCTGTTTTTAAGAAACATATGAGAATGATAAAATATTTATCAAAATATATAACTAGTTTATAAGAAAGATGTATGGGGAACTATATTCAAACCTCCTACCACTGACTGTCTTATTAACACAGTCCCGGGTCCTTAGTGCATATTGTTTTTTCTTAGGAAGTTAGATGTAGTCTCTTTCAAATAGAACTTGTGAAATTTTAAACTGTAATTGTGCATCAGTTGTTTGAACCATATAAACAGAATTGATTGGTTTCACAAACATTGCTGTTAAAACTGGTGGGTAATTTGTTAAAGAAATAAAACAAAACAAGAGGGAGAAAAAACACAGCATGAGTTTGCCAAAAGAAACATGGCATATTAAGAGACCCTTGTGATGATGTTAGAGCATTGGGTTAATTATTATTTCCCAGAAGTTAATGATGAGAGCAATTGTCTCAAACTTATGAGTGAATGAGGAAAAAGAACACAAGTGAACTCAACAGTAATTTACCTTACCAGCATGGGAAACCACTGTCTCTTTAGAATGTGTGCATCCATTGTTATGGATTATTAGATAACCTTTAGAGACAGACTGACCAATCAGCATAAGAAGTAATGTTGATTAAATATGCTGCAACCCATTCTTGATTAGTATTACAAAGAAAATATTTTCTAAATAAGCACTTTACCTAATTTTTATTAAATATAAACACACCTTTTATCCTTCTGACACCAAATTCCTTGACTTTGTTAAAAATGTGCTAGGGGGAACCAGCAGTTAGCGTAATGGCTATGTCGCTGGACTCCCACGTAGTCGACCACGGTTCGTGTCCCGGACCCGGTGGCTTAGAACTCACGCCGGGCGCGTGTGCGTCATGCCCAAGATCAAGATCCTGAGAGGAGAATGGAGGAGAAGGGATTGCGACGTGACCATCCCCCCTGGGGGGTGATTTCTCGCTTTAAAAAAAAAAAATGTGCTAGGGACCAGCAGTTAGCATAATGGCTATGTCGCTGGACTCCCATGTAGTCGACTGCAGTTCAAGTCCTGGACCCAGTGACTTAAACTCACGCCAGTCGCGTGTGTATGTGTGCCCAAGATCCCAAGAGGAGAATGGAGGAGAAGGGATTGCGGCGTGGCTATCCCCCTTGGGGGATAATTTCTCGCTTTCTTTCTCTCTGTCTCTGTCTTTTTGGAGAGCGCACGCGCCCTATAGCGAAAACCTCTCCAAAAAAAAGTGCTCTCCATTTTTTTTTTAATTATGCAGAAGACATGAACGCCCTTTACAACTTGAATTGTACTTGGAGACAGATACGTTTAGATAACACCAAGACAAAAAAACTGTGTTTTATGCCATGTTTATTTGTCCTAAGTATAAAAGCAAAACACATCCCCAAAGTAGTCTGATAGGTAGTGATTGAGGTTGCATAAGGTATTGTGACTAATCGTTTTTATCTTGTTTGGTTAAGCTAATTGAAAATCAGGGTAGAATTTCTCTCTAGATAGATTCTATATTTTATTACATTTGTAAAATCATAAAATAGTTATGTCATCCTCAATTCTCAAAAATAATTATATTGTTTTTGAAACTGTCAAAACATATTTCTCAACTCCGTATTACAAGAACAGGTAAGCAATCTGATATGGTGACCTAAGTGTCCCCTTTTTGGTTATTATAGGAGTTGGCTGTTCTCTGGCTGCTGTTTGGAAATACTGTATTATTTGCGTCTTATATGTTTGCCTAAAGTTAGGGATCAGTAAGCATGCCAAGTTAAATATTCATGTACTCTGAAAGGTCTCAGGAGTTTAACTTCACTTTTAAGGTTACTTTGTATATTTTTTGATGCAGCAATATTTCGTTTTCCCTCCCAAGATGAAAGAAATAATATAAGTTCTTTGAGAATTCTTAACTTTGGTGGTCACTCTTTTTTTAGCCTTTAAGTTTGCAATTAATAAGTTTTCAACAAAGGTACAATCTGGTGGATAAACTGGTTTGGGCTTTTCAGTTAATTGACTTATCAGTTTGAAAGTTGTCAATTGATTAGTTTCCCTCTGCTCTATAGAACTTTTCACAGCCTCCAGGAATTAGCTGAACTGAGTAAATTATTAGCCTGGTTTTATGTTTTACCACTGTCTCGGCTTATCCAAATAGACACTTTGACAAAGCACTTATTTAATAGAAGGGGCCATAAAATTATTTGTTACACTTCAGATAGGTATTTGTCAGTAAAACTAATTATTCCTCGAAATGTAACTGGGTACAAATGAGAAATGAAATAAATTTTCTTGCTGGAGAACAAGATACTTCCACACCCAGCACTGTCCAAGCTGTAAGGACTCTGGGAAGCAGGCAGTTGGATAGATCCTGAATCGCATCTCACAGCTGCTGCTTCACTTTCTGTGAGAGCAGGGCTGCACTGATTAAGCATGTATATTTGAAGAGCTTTTACTTTTGGTTTCTTTTCTAGCCATCTTTAAATCACAGAAGACTACAAATAGGTGGTATTCTTCCTTAAACACCAGGTCACCAATCCCAATGACATTTTCCCCCACCCCACACACAGTTTTTCCTGGTCAAACCATTTTCCCTTCCTTGATCCAATTCTGCAGTTTCTCATATTTTTAGTCCTATCCCTTTTACCTAAAGTGATTTTCCTCTAACATTCATTTAACAAAAGGCATCAATTACTACTTTTTGAAAACGTTTACTTGTCACTTCAGTTTAACTTGTTCTTATATAGGTGGGAATCCTTAGAATGCTTTGCCTATACCAGTGTTCTGACATTTTAAAATATATAACCATGCAGAATGTTGTAGTAATTTAAAAGATATGACCTTAAATTATTTGATTTTACTGTTACCGAAAATGTCACTTAATTTAGCTCCCCTTGAATGGGTGCTGGACTTAGTGACTCTCTTAGTGAATAAAATATTACAGAAGTGATGGAATATCAGTTGCAAAATTCAACTATAAAGATTTGTGCTTTCTTTGGGAACCAGCAGTTAGCGTAATGGCTATGTCGCTGGACTCCCCCGTAGTAGACGGCGGTTTGCGTCCCTGACCTGGTGGCTTAAAACTCACGCTGGGCACTTGTGTGTGTGTGCCCAAGATCCTGAGAGGAGAATGGAGGAGAAGGGATTGCAGCGTGACCATCCCCCCTGGGGGGGGGTGATTTCTCGCTTTCTGTCTCTATGTCTCTCTCTGTCTGTCTGGCGAGCGCACGCGCCCTATAGCAAAAACCTCTCAAAAAAAAAAAATGATTTGTGCTTTTCCTTCTGGAATGTTCCCGCCCGCTCTT